ATGTAAACCAACTATAAGAAAGATGAACTCTTACCATTTGCAACAACATGGAACTGGAGGGGATTATGCTACACAAAATAAGGTGGGGAAACACAAATAACAGGTGGTTTCACTCATATGTGGAATATAGAGAAATAAAGCAGGGGGTCAGACAAAACCAAACCAAAATATGAATGTAAAACTGAGGTTACTGGAGGAGGAGAGGGGAGGTGTGGAGCACAATGGACTTTGGTGGAGGAACTGTGGGCACCTTGGTGGTGGTGGTGGTGAGGCAACATATATCTGAAGACATGTGATCCCATACTTTTGTATCATAGGCAGTGTGGAAACCCAATGTTAGCTCAAAAAATATATAAGCAGAGTAATTTCCTGAGCACTTAGTGTGCACTGAAAAAGAATTTAGGATCTGAGGGAAAAAGTTGTCATTAGAAGAATCTAAAACTTTCCACAAACTAATAAAATAATTCCTTCAATTTCAAACATAAAATTAAAAAAAAAGCTAAATGAAAATGGTGTTACTTGTTCCTTAAAATGTTAATAGGTAAAATCAACTGCATATTCTCAGGTCAAAGCGAGACCTGAACAAACACAGACCTGGGAGCCTTTTTCACACAGGATAATGTAGGCAGCAAGGCTATCATAATCTGCATGATGAATTCATCTAGTAAATTGGTATAAGCTTACAGTGAATTAAAAAAAAAAGAATAAAATGCTAAACTATGGAAATGGAGTTTTGCAGTTTGAAAATAGTTTATTTTTAATTATTTTACTTTCCATTGAAATAATAATGTATTACAACATTATATAAGGTGTTTGATGAAACTAGAAACAACATCTGTACATGGCACATTAAGTTCATGGCTAAAAGTCCAGATGTACTGCTCACCGTACCATCATATCCTTTCCTCAGTTTAGTCACCATCTTTCCCCCTTCCCTTTGGTAACCACTAATTCGGTCTTGTAGCTTCAAACGTTTGTTTTTGTTTTGCTAGTTTATATATACCACATATGGGTAAATTCGCACAGTGTTTGGCATTTTCTGACTAGCCTATTTCCTTAAGTAGTAGCAAATTCACCTTTTTAAAATCTTGTTTAACAGTTGAATACGATTCTATTGTGTGGATATACCACATCTTTTTAATCCACTCTATTAGTAAACATGTTTCCAGTTTTTGGCTATTGCAAATAGTGCTGCAATAAACAGGGGTGTGCACATATTTCTTCAAATTAGTGTATTTTGGTTTTTGGTAGATAACCAAAGTGGAATAGATGGATGCATGGAGTTTCTGTTTAATTTTTTGAGAGATCCCCATACTGCTTTCCAGAATAGCTGTACCACTTTGCCACTTTAACTTTCTACCAATAGTATAGTAGGCTTCCCTTCTCTTCACATCCTCTCTAACACTGTTTGTTGTATTGTGGATAGAAATCATTTTCATAGGTATGAGGGTGATGTTATCAATCTTTCAGTGAACACCTGAAATTTATGTGTTTTGGTTTGCATTGCTCTAATAATAAGAAATGATGAACATCTTTCATATGCTTATTATTACCTGTTTGTCTACTTTAGAAAAATATCTATGCAAATCTCCTGTGCATTTTTTAATCAGGTTGTTTGTTTTTTTTGTTTGTTAAGTGTTACCAGATCATTGGATTACCATTCTGGGAGCCTCAGTTCTGCTTGTCAGATCTGAAGGTTTGTTTTTGTCTGTTACTTCTTTTTTATATTCTACGCATGAGTAAAATCGTCGGTATTTATCATTCTCCTACTGACACCTCCCTCAGCATAATACCTGCAGTTCTGTCTATGTTTCATAAATGACAATAGTCCTCCTCTTTCACAGCTGGATAGCATCCCATTGTATATATTTTTTAAATCTACTTATTTGTCACTGAGCACTTGAGTTGTTTCAATAGTTTGATATTTGTAAACAGTGATGTAATATTCCTTCAAATTAATGTTTTTGCATTCTTCAGTTAGAAACCTAAAAGAGGGATTGCTGGGTCATATGATACACTTAATTTTAATTTTCTGAACAGCCTTCACGCTATTTTCCACAGCTGTTTCATGGTGTTATAAAATGTGTTTGGAAGAAATTCCTCTTCTTCAGTTATTTGGAAGAATTAAAGAAGGATAGATTGTTTGTAGGTTTGGTAAACTCATTAGTAAAGCCATCTGATCTTGGGTGTTTTAGTGGGGAGGGAGATTTTGATGACTGTTTCCTTACTTGTAGTCTATTCAAATTTTATATTCTTCCTGATTTAGCCTTGCAAGTTGAGTGACACTAAGAATTTACCATTTCTTCTAAACCTTCCATAAAGATGCTCATAATTTCTTATAATTCTGTCTTTCTGTGATGTCTGTTTTAACTTCTCCTTATTCATTTCTGATTTTATTTATCAGTTTTATCACTTTTATCTTAATGAATCCAAAGAGGCTTTGTCTGTTTTATCCTTTGCAAGAACCTGCTCCTGGTTTCCTTTATTTTCTGTGCTCTTTTTTTTAAACTCACATTTCTGCTCTAATTTTTATTATTTCTTTCTTTCTAAGGACTTTGGTTTCACTTGCTCTTATTTTTCTAGTCCCTTAAATGTGCCTCTCTATATAAATTGGATAGATGTACTAATATAACGTATTCTGTTCCTATAAAGTAAATACTTCTACACGGGTGAGATAAAGTTGAACATAAATATAAGTGTCAAACTTTTCTTCTACTTTCTAAGTGTGGCTCTCCACTGTGGGAGGCAGTTTCTCTAACTCTGGTGACTAAACAGGAAAAGATATACGATCATTTCTGAAGGCCAGTCTGGGTTCTGCTTACCAGCTACAGCTCTCTTGTTCACAAAGACTCATATTTCTCTGATGTTGTCACTTAGCCATCAGAGGCCACCTTGTTTACTCATGTACATGTTTACTCACTTATTACACATACACACATACTCTAGGATCTTAGATGTGTTGTGTTTTCCCTACACTTTAAACAGGACTTGGTATACAACAGGGAAATACTTAGATACTTGTTATGCATAACTGCTTCCCGGCTCACATTCCAGATCCTTCCCTTTTTCTGGGTTCGCCAGTCTCCTAGGAGGCTCAAAACAGGTTTCCTGATGTCCTGCAGGATACAAATAATACCCAACCCTTTCTTCGAGAAACTACTCTGCTTAAAGACCTCCTATTGAGCATTAGTCGGAGACAATTCTCCTCTTCATGTAAAACAGACAGCCACAGTCATAAATCCAGAATTAAAAAAACAACAACAGTATTTCTAAAGGCATTCTTAAGTTTAAAAGCTGAATTAAGATTTGCACACAAAAGCTACTGTTCTCACTCGATGAATTCGAGCTATTTTTGGAGTATCTGTTCTGGTAGGACTAAGAAAAAGATGTATAGGCAGGTACCTGATGGTTTTCCACACGTCGAAGCCGTCCAGGGGCTTGGTGCCCTTGGTGCTTCCCCGGGCCAGCTTCACGAGAGTGGGCAGCCAGTCGGAGATGTGGATGAGCTCCCGGGTCTTCACACCCTTTCGTTTCAGCAAGGGACTCGCCACAAAGCCCACGCCGCGGACGCCTCCTTCCCAAAGGCTCCATTTTCTCCCTCTCAGGGGCCAGTTATTGCCCCCTGCCAACGTCTGCCCTCCATTATCTGAAACACAATTAGGTCTTGACATTAGGACAATGCTAATGAGTCTATACATTTAGGAATAAAAGACTTCTCTGTATGTTGTTACTGAATGGTGTTTAAAGACTAAAAAACTCCTCCTAACTCTCTCCCATATCAACTACTCTTCTCCTACCAACACTACCCGCCATTGCCAGACATAACCAGAGTGTAGCAAGATGCAGATCTGACAGAGACCTTCAAATCCTCAATGGATGGAACCACCAAAAAAGAATGAAATCCACAGAGTATCTGGGACAGAGCCCTGTGCTAACCAATGGCTAGGTTTTCAACAAAGGAGAAGGGATCCAGGTAAGTTAAATTCTTCCTGGTATCAGAAAAGAATCTTATGAGTGAGTTTCACTTCTTATTGACCTACAGCTTCTAATAAGTGGAGACTAGCAAGTCTGTTTTATTTTCCTCCTGGAAATTTCTCCTGTCTCTTAAACTGGTAACTGAATTAACATTATGCTCCCTGGTGATTTGAACTCTTCCTTCAGTGTAGAAGAAAGCTGAAGATTTTGTAAAGGGGAGAAATATCTGTGAAAACACAAAAGTTGGGTGGAAAAAATAATTGCAAGAAAAATTCCTCCCATCTAGACAGGATGGCAAGACATAGCTTCATTGTGCTTTATGTGCCAAGGAAGACAAGTATCCTTTTCAGGACAACCATGGGAACAGAGACCGTTAGCGAAGCCAGAGGAGAAATGACAAGGGTGAGTGAAGTAGCTCAACTGTTGTGCGGTTCAGTGTTAGGAATCAAATGGGACTATACAAGGTAAACAGTGATATTTCTAATGCACTGACATGTACAACCACTTTATCCCCAAAAGTACTCATACATTTAGGTGATCTTAAAGACATGTCTAAAAAAAATGCCTCCTACATGGTCAAACAGTCCATTAAATATTAAAAAAACAGTTATCCAAATGAGCCACATGAGGGCAGTATGGCAGATCGGCTCTGAAGAACAATACATATGAAAATCTAACACAGAAGTCAAGACATACATAGCAAATGCACAGGACACATGCCTACTGTGCACCTACTATGTTAAGCACCTACTGTGCACCAGGCACACATTAATTTTACATGATCTCTCACAGAATGTGGATCTGACAGACCAGAACTGAAGCCTCACACCAGTCACCCATCTATTATGTAACCCTGGGCAATATGCTGCCTCAGTTTGCTCAGCTTTAATGTGGAGATCATAATTCCTACCTCATTCACACCACATGTCTTAATAATTATTTTTATGGTGTGAATTAAGTGAAACCATTTATGGCCATTTCTCGGCTGGGTACCTAGCATAACCTAATATTCAAAAGTGGTAGCTAATATTTATAACAACCAAAGAGTATGTATCAAAACCACTTTAATGCTTAAGAAAACAAAATTTAAAAAGCCAAATAGCTAATAAGTGGCAAATCTCTTATTCAAACAAGAACTGTGTGACTCCTGGGCTCCTTCGGGCCCCCAGGGCCATGCCCCTGAGGCCCCTGGTATGGAGAGGATCTTTAACCTACTGGCCACGTAAACCCTTCACGTATGAAGACCAAAAGCACAGGCCAAAGTCAGCGAAGTGTACATTCTTCCACCGATAAGCAGAAGGACACTTATTTCAAGACAATGATAATCCTCTTTAGAGGAACTTTTATTGCTGGTAGATAAGTTTAAGGTTCTACTGCTGAGGAGACTTCTGAACAAATCCTAATATACCAGGCCCTCAGAAATTTCCTGTGCTTTATGAAACAGAGGGAGCAGAATCTTGATCTAGACCAGATGAAGGTAACAAGTTTTCAACATGTGGAACAGTGACCATCAATCTCATCATTTGCTGTCACATACTTGCAAGACACTCATATCATTTCTTAACAAGAATCAAGGCCCAGTCGCCCAAGCCAGCTTAGTAAATACTCATTCTTCCCTATGAGATGATTTTTATATTCCAAACAAGAAGCACAATCTTTAGACAGAAGAAATGTCTCCACGCTTGTTATCACAGATATCAGCCATTGCATCAAAACTTAAAAGATATTGTTCATGTGAAGCAAAATACTGGTAAGAAATGATTATGCTCTGGGGCCTCCCTGGTGACACAAAGCACTATCAAGTTATCACCAGACACTACAGCATGAGTTCAATCCCCTACCAGGGAGCTGACCCACATGACACAGCAGACTACTTCTGTCTCACTAACTGCTCCCCTCAGCAGCGTATTGCAGTCAATCTGTCTATTCTGCTCACCACCCTGTCTCTGGTGAATCCTCTCACCTCCCACACGTCTGGCCTTCTCTTGTATGCCTAAATAAATAAATCTTTAAAAATAATGATTATACTCCACCAATGAGTTCGAGAGTAGCTGAGACCACAATAATATTTCACTGTGGTATCTGGGTTGCTATTAACAAACCTAGCTCAATACTTGTAGAAGATACCTACTGTGTCCATTTTAAACAGATACACACCTTTGAGATATTCCATTCCTCTTTCCATTCCACATATTTGTTCGCACTCAATGAAACAAAATGCTAAATGATGATGGTGGTGGAATTAAGAACAGAGATGAAGGAGATAAGGGTGGTTGAGTCTGATATCTGACTTGAGCAGTCCTTCAGGTAGGACTCACAAAGGAAAATATTCTTGGCTGTAAAGGGAATTTGGCCCACTGCTACTGTAGGAAACGGATGGTGTTTGTACATGCTATTAGTGGAGGGTGCTGATGCAGTGAGTGTGGCTGTTTTTGCTGTTAGCACACGCTGATGATTTTGCCAGTAGCAATGATAAGCAACTCTATCATGTTATCAGTATGGCTTCCTCTATCATTTTCTCAAGAGCACTCCAGAGAGAAAGCCCTATTAATTGACACACCTGCAAGTTCTCTCTTGGCCTCCCCTGTCACAGAGCCAGTTGTGGATTTGGCTGCTTGAAGAGGCCAATTCAGCCTTGACAGAGGCGTCTATATCCACAGGCAACACCTGGCTGATGGGGACCTGACTCTGGGACAGAAGCCAGAGTGGGGTTCTTGAAAAAATGGGTGCTCTTCATCAGTGTTAGCAGTCTTCTGAGTATCCAAAGAGCCGGTCATTAAACTGATGAGAGCAACCACAAAAATAAATTCATTTGAAACAAAACAGAAAAGCAGGCTTCTTATATTGCTCACTTAAACCTCAGCACTATCAATTAAAACTAAATTTTTATTTAATTAAATCTAGTTTATTTTAAAAGACAATGGAACTACTACCATCTCAAACACATTTTGCTTGCCCTCCTAATTTTCTTTCATGCAAAAGTTAAATTTTGTTCTTGTTAAGAGAATCTTTTTTCTTGTTTTATTTCCTGACTGATTTTAGAAAAAAAAAAACCCTCCAAATCAAAATAAGATGTCTTTGGTAGTAAAGGAAACTATGAAACATTTTTTTTTTCAGGAAAATCATTTTTCAACAATGTTTTTGGTAGAGGGAAAACATAATTATAAAACCCTCGCTATCTAAAAAAGAAATGTCAAAATAAAACAAATGCTGTCATCTACTGATGGCAACTCTCAAGAAGTCATGGAAAACCTTCACTTAGCCACAGATCTCAGCAAAAGCACTCTGTATGTGACAATGCAGCCTCATCTGTGTCCAGCTGATAAAAATTTATCTGGGAGCCTGGCAACAGCGTTAGGTTTTAGTGCCATTCCCTGAGCAACGCGCTGTTGTGGCTGACTCCAGAAGTCTGCCCTGACCCGTCAGTGTATCCCCCTCTCACTAGCCCTGCATCCTTCAGCTGGGGCTTACCTGAGACTTCCTTCTTTGCTCACTAGGGGAGCAGGGAAGGAGAGGAAGGCTCCCGGAGCCCTGCACAGGGTCTGGGCTTCTCTCTGAACAGGGCCACCAATGTGAGCAGGACAGATGAATAAACACCACCATTTCACATTCTGAGAAGACTGTCAGGAAAAAAAGGACCTACTGGCGGTTTATTTAGTCCCCTTTGATTTATTTTTCTAACTATTAAAATGTATTCTGGAGAGTTGACGTCTTGATAGTCCTATAAAAGATTAAGTTAGGCCCTCCCTGGTGGCGCAGCGGGTTAAAGCACAGGACTGAGAATCTAAAGCCGCTTCTGCATGAGTTCGATTCCCGCCTGCCCAGGAGGTGACCACATGGCGAGGCAGACCTCTCCTGACCCGCCCGCTGCTCCCCTCAGCAGTATACTTCGTCGATCTGCCTGGTCTGTTCCCCTTCTGTATCTGGTGAAGCCTCTCGCCGCCCCTGAGCCTCTGGCCTGTACCCCAGTTCTGTATGCACAAATAAATAAATCTTAAAAAAAAAAAAAAAGATTAAGTTAACTCAATCTTGCCCTACTAAAAGATTTTGGGAAAACTATCTACCCAGATAGAGGTACACCTTGGAGATCTTGTGGGTTGGGTTCCAGACCATTGTAATAAAATGATTATCATAATAAGCAAGTCTGATGATTTCTTCGTTTCCCAGTGCATATAAAAAAGTATGTTTACAAAAAAAAAAAAAAGTATGTTTACACTATACCATGTACGTGTGCAGTAACATTATGCACAATACAGACCTTGATTAAATGTGACAGAGAGTGTGAGGAAAAGGTGGCCGACAGACTTGGCTTGATGCAAGATTGACACAAACATTCAACCTGTAAAAACCAGTATTTTGTGGTGCTTTACAGTATCTGGGAGGCACAATAAAATGAGGTGCCCTGTACTCACGTGTGGCCTGCGCTCTTTACTTTCCCACTTGCTCACATTCCCTGACTGAGTGTGCCCTAGCAGCTGCCAACCTGCCGGCCTCTCTCCAGCCCCACCACCATGCCTCCTGTGCGCCTCTTCCCTGGGCCCCTGTGATAAATTACACACAGCTTCATGCCATGAAGGTGTCTCAGCAAAGCCCCAAACCAAGCAGTCCACATCCCAATTCAGTGTTTAAATGCTTCTTGTTGCTTTCCAGTCAGGAAAAGTTCATATGGAA